AATCACCAATTAACCTCAGCATGTTTTTGGACTGTGTGGGAGGAAGCTGGAGAACCCGGAGAGAACCCACGCTGCATGGGGAGAACATGCAAACTCCACGCAGAAAGATCCCAGGTGTCCTCACTGAGACGTGAACCGCCGACCTTCGGCAACGGTGCTAACCACCGATCCACCTTGCAGCCCTACTTAACATTTCGTTGGATTTTTTATTTTTTATTTTTGGGATGAAAAGGCACATTTTGATATTGTTGGTAATTACAACATGGTCTAAACAGAGGTGCTTCCATATGAAGAAAATCATTCCATTTAAAGGTTGTTTAGAGAAGCAGAAGGATCATATTCTTCAGCCTCATGCTTCTTTTGTTGGTCATAGAATCTATATTTTTCTCTTAGTATGCTGATGATATTTCAGGATTTAAACCTCAGCCATTCTCCTCAACTGGACCTCTCTGTCGTAAAGGATCAAGCTTCCTATCTGCAGCACAAAGGGGCTTTAATACACCGTGCACACGTATGCAATAACTGAAACGAATATAACTTCTCCGTCTCATTAACTCTCACTTGGCGCTCAGTTGGAAGCTGAAATCAGTCGACCTGCTGCAGCAACGTTTAGATGAGTTGAGAGCAGACTTTGGACGCTTTACGTGCAAACAGATGAGTAATTTAGTGAGCAGTTGTGAAACAGGTTGACATATCAAGGATAAGCATTGGCTGTTAGACAAGTATGTGTGTGATAAGCCAATTTCTAATAAATGCATAAAAAAAAAAAACAAGTTATCTGTTCCAAAAATACATTTACACAGGAGTGCGGTTAGCTTGTGAGTGTAGGTGACATATAAAAACGTTCATGCCAAACTTATTGTGAAACAAACTCACTTTAAACTAATTTATATCTTCAACGCCATGGGAAGCGTTTCAAGGTAGCGAGCTGGAGACGTGAGCGTACACACTCCACGCTCTCTGCAATGAATTACAACTGGTGCCATTTATTAAAGCATACTCAGAGGAATGTACGATTATACATCAATAGTTTGAGCCTCCCTCTGCAGTTCAGATCCACCCCCCTCATCTGAAATTGAATCCAGACCATCGCGGGGCTGTTGTGTGGATCAGCGATAAGAAGGAGTAACAGTATCTCTACCATATGGAGGTACAGTCTGGAAAAGCAATATCAGCCTGTATGACTGTTTAAACACCTTCAAATGACAATAACTGTTCTCGTATGCATCAGTTAAATTTCTTTCTCATTCTTAATGTATGATTTTTGGCAAGTTCCATCTTTCATTAAGGTCAGTCGCTGCTGCAAAGGTCCTTTTTTTCTCCTGGTGGTGGTTCTCTTATTTAAACGTCTTCAACATCCAACCACACGCTCCATGAAATCCACAGTTGTTCTGTTTCATTTGCTGAGGTTTCTTTCTGTCAGCACAGAGTAGTAAGAGGGAACTATTTGGTGTGAAACTCTTGAGTTGTACCCATTTTTGCTCATTAGAATTGAATCCAATCTGGTGTGGTTGCAGCGCTCACAGTAAATTTCTAAGTGGCGCTCTAGAAATCAGTCCCAGAAGCACCCTTTGTTTGGTTTTGGTATCTGTTTGCGTGCTAATGCCAGACCAGGAGCTCTGTAAAGATGACCCTCCCTCGTCGTCGCTGCATTCATGAGATGCACTGCAGGTTACATCAGGAAGGCAAAAGAATCATAAATCAAGTGAAATTTTTTAAAGAAGGTGGAGCCGCTTTGCAGGAAGAAACAAACAAGTCGTGACTCATGTGGTTTTGGCTGCCGTCAGAAGCCAGTCGTTTGCCAGTTCTCTTACCCGCAGTTGTGTTAAATGTGTAAAACAGTTGCAGTGCAGATTTGTGAAAAGCTCGTTTTGTGTGACAAAGACTTTGGCTGCTTTAGGAAGAATCGCAGCTCTGAATCATGAGCGAAACGCAAAGGTCATAAAGTTCATCTGGCCAGTGATCAGCTCTCTCGGTTATTTAGGCGATGCGGTTATCTCAGCCCAGATCTACCACTTTTTTTTTTGTTTTTTTTTAACCAGCTGAGCTTCTATAAAGACGTTTCCAGGCACATAACATTTCAACAGTGGTTGTGAACTCTCATCCAAGGTGTTCAGGCCCAATAAAACTGCTAATGAGAGTTCTTTGAGTAGGTTTTAACACCATAATTATGCCACAGTGCTTTTGGGAAAGTGCTTTCTCGGTATGGTGGAAAACGGTGGGAATGCAGAGCCACTGTGGGAAAAGCTAGAATTTTGTCTTTAAACTCTGCCTACTGTCTCGCCTCCGTTCGTGCCTAATCTGTAATCCCGGCCAATGATTTCACCGATAAGCATCTATTTTGTCTCTCCACATCTTTCTGTAGTGTCCCAGCAAAATCACCAACCAGCCCGGCAAAGAGTTCGGCAGCACCAAGGACTTCCCCGATTCGGTGCTGCAGTTTGCTCGCAGCCACCCGTTGATGTGGCGGCCGGTGTTTCCAGCCCTGCGCCAACCTGTGCTCGTCAAAGCCAACATTCCTTACAAGCTGAAACAGATTGTGGTGGACCGGGTGGAGGCAGAAGACGGGCAGTATGATGTCATGTTCATTGGCACAGGTGAGGACATGCGACTCCATTCCTTTCTAAACTTAGACACTTGAACTTTCAATACTGGAATTATCGTTTGAACGCTGAGCTGTGTTTTTGTAAAATCGGTGTGATTCTTGTTTTGTTTAAATAACAGTAAATGTCTGCTGTTCTTCCAGATGTTGGTACAGTACTGAAGGTCATCGCCCTGCACAGTGGAAACAGTCTGGAGACGGAGGAGGTCACGCTGGAGGAGCTGCAAGTCTTTAAGGTACGTTTTATTGCAACCTTCTGCTTCCTCGTTAATACCTCCGTAGGCCATTCATCATTAAAGAAAATGTTTCTTTCACCCTGGCTCTTAAACCCTCTTTGGAGTCGACAGATTAGAACCTAGTCTTGAATCTCTTCTTTGCCTTTCATTCTACTTTTTGGGCCTTTCATTTTAAGTCTTCTCACAGATCAGTAACTTAAATCATTTCTGTTGTTGCAGGTTCCAACTCAAATTACATCAATGGACATTTCTGTGAAGAGGGTGAGGAATTACTGACTTTAATGCTCTCAGTGTAATTAAAAACGTGTCTCCATCACGTCTTACTTTCTTCATTATTCCTCCCTTTGTCGTTCCGAACAGCAAGCCCTGTACGTGGGCTCTCCGGCGGGTGTAGCTCAGGTGAAGCTGCATCGATGTGAGACTTACGGGAAAGCCTGCGCCGAGTGCTGCCTGGCCAGAGATCCCTACTGCGCCTGGGACGGCTCGTCCTGCTCGAGATACGTTCCCAACAGCAAACGCCGCTTCCGCAGACAAGACATCCGGCATGGAAACCCGGCGCTGCAGTGTGTGGACCAGAATCTCAGTGGTGAGTGGGACTAACTATCCTTGTTTGGTGCCATCTGTGTTGTGGGATGAGTTAATGATCTTCTGCAATATCTGTTTCTTGCCTGGCGACCTCGCATTGACAAGGTTCAGGTTTGGATGTTCCAGCTGCTTCACTATTTAGAAGTGACAAGAGAGCTTAATCATAGCTGCAGGTTGGAGATTAAAGTTGCATAAAAAGTATTTAACTTAGTTCTACAAAGGTTTCTAATAATATGTCTGGATGATTGACACTTTATACAGACTTGTTAAAATTAAGAGAATAGAATAAAATAGAACAGAAGAGTTTTATTGTCAATTTTTCTCTATATATCCAGGACATACAGAGGAACTGAAAAGACTAATACATAATTTGTCTTTTTCTTGGAAAGAAAATGAGGGAAAAGTTAGGAAATATAAATGTTCCAGCAGCTGGGGCACCAAAACATACTGCAAAATGGCAGAACATAACCATGTCACATAAGTAGTGTAATTTTCCAACAAAACAACAACAACAAAAAATAACCATATAACTTCATATATCATGAGCAGTTTTTGGCTTTTTAATGTATAATGAAGATAATTTATTTAAATTTTTAAAATTTGAGTGAATACTTTATGCATTTTATTCAAAGCAAATTACTTAAAATATATAATAATGACAGTATTTTGACTGTTAAGCAGAACTTATACATATTATACACTGATGAAAACACATTCATTCAACATTTTTGTAGTGAAAACGTCTGTAATTACGCCAGATTTCTCTTAAACTTTATCTATTTGAAGTTACAGAACTGTTTTTCTTGTAATTGTCACTAACCGTATCTGATATTAGAAATATATTTATTCTATTAAACTTAAATTTAACAGTTTATGGTCATTTTATTTGCATTTTTTAAATGTTATTTTACATGTAAATTGCCTTTTTCAAAAATAAGATTTTAAAAAACCTGTAAAATAGAAAGGAAAAATGCTCTTTGTGATTTTACTTTCATATTTCAAACTTTGTCCTTCAGCCTGCCGACATCATTCACAGGACTCTGTAGATGAGGTTTACTCCTTGTATTTTTATGGCATGTGGCCGTGCTACTCTAAACATCAGCTCTAAACATTTAGCTGTAGATAGAAAGAGGAGCAGCGAGACTCTTCTGTGTACTGTATAAATCTGAGGTTCAAAGGACGCTGTTATTAGAAGAAGGTTGTATGAATGAGTCTGTGAGGCTTTTTCTCAGGATGAAAGCTGAAGACTGTTTATGCGAGGAGGCCCGTCCGTTTATCCGAAGCTGTACGCGACAGATGTTTTACAGTATATTAGAACAAGAACACACGTTGACTCGTCAGCTACACGTGTTCGTTTACACACGGCACATACAGCAAATGTGGAACATAACCTGGCACTCCTCTCGCTCTTACGTCTTTTGGTTTAAAGGAAGAGTCGCGGCTCTGACAAATAAGCTCAAACTTCCACAACCATCTGTCACACAGAGAAAGACAAATGAAGGGGAGAAAACCAACACTGGTGACAGACAGACAAGAAAAGGAGAAATTGGGTCATTTAGAGGCAGGAAAGAACGAGTGTGTAAATGTGTGTTTTTCACCTGAGTGGATGTTTGGAGCTGAAGTGATGAAAGATGTTTCCCTCAAAGCCTCTGGGTGAACCTCGGCTTTCCAAAGTTTCTTTGTGCGAAGGTGTCAGTGAGATTTCAAGAGCAGTTTTTTTTTTTTCCTTAGGCCCGAAATTTTAACCTAAGATCAGACATGATCTATTAAAAGTGGGTGCTCAAGTGATTAATGAACTACTTTGTCTCCAGAGGTGAGATTGACGTCCTTTAAGATCACACGCAGGCTAAAAACTGGGGCATAAAGGTTCACAGAAACAAAACAAACATACTTCTAAAATGTACTAATTAACACATTAGATCTTGTTTGTTTAATCTATACAAACAACAACGAGCTGTGAGGTAATGTATAGGAGCATTTTAATCTCTTCAATCTTTCTGCCTATCTTCTGCTGGCTCCAGCTTTATGCTGAGCATGTGTGGTATCAGTCTTCTCATCTACGTCTCTTAATCCATGCCGAGGGATTGTATATCTAACGCTAAATGACTTGTTTTGTTTATATGTTAATTTACAAGATGAGAACACACGATACAAAACCTCAGGACCTAAATCACAAGGAGGAACAAACGCCTTCTGGGGCTTTATTAAGGCGTTCTCGAAGGCCGACGTAATACCAGATGAGAAGTTGAATTAGCAACTACCATTGCATAAAGGAAATTGAATTGTTTTTTTTAATTCAAAGTGTTAACAGGCCGAACATCATGAAAACAAGATGTGTAGTTCCCTCAGTGGGTCACCCTGCTGAGGGTTTGTGTAAGGGGAATCTAACCCCTAAACAAAGTTATTATTGTCATTGTTAGTATAGCGTCTTTCAAAGCTGCACTAACAAGGTGCTTTACAAAAAATGAAATGCACAAAACCACCAATAAAACATTAAAAGAAGACATTAAAACTTTAGAAAAGAACGTACAAATCTTAAAAAGAGCAAAAACAGAGCGTCAGAGAATGTTTTACAGGTGGGTTTTTGAAAGCTTTTTGAGCTGATGAACTGAGTTGTTCTGACAGTCAGGAGTTTGTTCCACAGCGGCGGGGCTGAAACAGTGAAAGCACAGTTCCCCTTTGTTTTCAGCCCGAACCGTGGGATGTTTAACAGTAACCCATTCTAAGATCTCAGAGGCAGCATATGGTGTCAAACGTTCAGTGTAGAGATTTAAAAGTAATCCACAGAATCTTAAATTAAATTCTGTAATGAATCGGGAGGATCAGAGTTATGCTGGTTGATTTTGGTCAAAGGAAGTTCAGTCCTTTTCGTCAGTTTGGCTTTACGGACTGAATCGTCACTTGATGTCTTTTACAACCTTTCTTTTCCTCTCTATTTCTACATTTTTAAGACCTGGATGTGAGCGAGGACAGGGTGGTATACGGGACTGAGAACAACAGCACCTTCCTGGAGTGCGTTCCTCGTTCTCCACAAGCTACCGTCACCTGGCTGGTCCAACGCGACGACCGCAAGGAGGAGGTAGGACGATTTGTAAATAACAAAAATTAACATCACCGTAATAAAAGGCCTCGTGTTCCCTTTAGGTGGCAGTTGAGTTGGGTGGAATGAAACATCTTGCCCGTGGAACTGCCTTTAAAAGTGAGATCTGAGTGTGAATTTGGCACGTGGTTGACACTTTTGACAACCGTTTGACATATGGCTGAAATTAAGCGATTGCATTTCAAAGCAAAATGCACAATCACCCCTCCTCCTGAACAAACAGTGAATTCTTTGCAAACCTTAACCACACGCCACTGTAACTGTCACTCAATGTCTACTGGCCGCTGTGACTTAAGTTGCCAAGTCATTTTAAAGGCACTACTTAGAAAATGATGTCTCTGTGCGAGCCCACACCCCACAGTAATCATTCATCCGTTTGAGGTTTACGTTCCTCCGAGCTCAAATGAGTGCCTCGGTCAGCCATGCAAGTATTAAGGCATTACCACCCCTCTCCCATTTCCCTGCAAATAAACATTTGGCTGCCACTCTAGCCGACAAGGCTGCCATGTTTGTGTTGGCACCGAAGGATAGTTAGAGAAACCGAGGGGTCGAATCTGAAGAGGGGGTCGATATAGAAGAAGGTGTAAATGAATAGAGCTTGTAGAGAGAGACTTTGGTGGGAAGTTAGTGAGGAAAGAAAGCGAATGAGAGAAAAGAAAACGGGAGGAAAAACAGTAAAAACCGACAGTAACTTGATTTCATGGTACATTCTTGCTGTTGCAACTCAAGCTGAGAAAACAATACAAACAGCTCCTTTCTTTTCTCCTGCCGTGCAGTGAAGATTACATGCTCTTACCCAAATTTTCTTGATTTCTTTACACTTTGTTTATGCGTTGTTGGGAGGTCTTCAGTGTTTTTCTTCTTCAGACACGACAGTGTTTAAAAGAAAGCACTTGTGGTATTTAGTCTGAGAAAACATGCACTAATTCAGGTCGACACACGGTCACACTTGGATGTTTGTTTGTATTTAAGGCGACTTTTGAACAAACAGAAGGCAGATATAGTAATGACTTCAATTTATAGAACTTCCTTTTTAGACACTTTAAGTGCTTTAGGTGTCTAAAAACAAAGACGAAGAAGTACACATAGGGCTTCTACATTTTGGATGCCAGACGTGTTCCAGAGTTTTGGAGACTTGAGTCCACAACCTGGAGATGGGAACTGACAACTGTCCATTGTCAGAGGAGTGAAAATTTTGAGAGAAGGCCAAGAGGTGAAAGAGGTCATTGAGGTACTGAAGGGCAAGACCATGAAGGGACTATGTTGAAGGCCAGTGTAGGGGCTACCTAAGTGACCCCAAGGTTGGGGACTGTTGTGGACATAAGTTCTTCTTTGTTCCTGGACAATTTGGGGAAATTGGAAGACAACAAGGTGCCGAGGTCACATGGGCGGTTTGAGGGAAGGATTAGGAATTTGGGTAAAGGGTTTGGTGATATAGAACAGACTGTCATCTATGTAGAAGTGTAAGTTGAGGCCATGCTTTTGTGGATTGTCTCTCCAAGGGGAAGCATGTAGATATGAAACATGAGTGGTTCGAGTACTGAGCCCTGGGGAACACCTTGGTTAATGGGGCTTGTCACAAAAACAATCATGCATTTTGGTTCCTTTACAGATTAATAATAGGTCTTCTGGAAAAATGACAATTTCTGCTGGTTTAAAAATATACGTACAGCAATTTGAATTATCTGTTTTAATGTATGTAGACTTTTGTTTATGACTTTGCATGCTTCCAACAGGGTTTTGTTTATGTCCCCTGTCCACTGACTAGATAAATCACGACCCAATCTTGAACAAAACTGTGTTGTTTTTATAAATAAAGGTCAGTAACAGTTAAATACTTCCAGTTTTCTTTGTGTTTCAGCCACATCTGTCAACAAATCCTATGAGGCCACCAGTATGTAGTTGTATCAAATATGAAACTAAAGTATAAACACCTTTTTCTTCTCTGTCACACTCAGGTGAAGCTGGATGATCGTGTGATGTCTACAGAGCAGGGTCTTCTGTTTCGTCGTCTCTTCCACCAGGATGAAGGCCTTTACATCTGCCGCTCTCGAGAGCATGGCTTCACCCAGACCCTGGCCCGCCTCACCCTCGAAGTCCTTCCGGGGGAGACAGTCGACGAGCTCATGGCCCGAGACAACGGCGGCCTCTCTGATTCGTTCAAAGACCGGTCCGGTGGAAGCTACCGGGCCTGGATGCCTTGCAGCACGTACAGCAGGGGCGGTTCATCGAGCCAAATGAGCCAGTCGCGTTCGTGGTTCAAGGATATCATCCAGCTCATCGGGCCGTCCAACCTGCCGCACGTGGAGGACTACTGCGAGAGGATGTGGTGCAACGACAAGCTGAGGAGGAAGCACAAGAGCATGCTGGAGAAGTACCGCCAGGCCCAGGAGAGCGCCAGGAAGGCTCGTAGCAAGAGCTCTGGTGAACGCAACCGGACGCCACGAGATCTAAGAGCACAGGAAGAGTACTGAAGCGAATGAGAGAAACTGTAAAAAACAAAAAACAAAAAGAAAGAAAGATAAACTGAAGGTGGAAAAAGAGACAATTATGGTTCAGGAAAAGCTCAATGGGGCGGCATAGAACAGCGTTGTTGTGGTTGAATCTTTCTTACGCAGATCTGTAAGAATACGATCAATTTTAGTGCATAAAAATCTGTAAAATACTCTGAGGAAAGCATAACTAGATTTTTAAAAAAAACTCCTAAAGGCTGTCTCGCTTAGTGTCGCAACAGTAAGCGAGACAGTACGTGAGAGCTTTTAATTTTTTCTGAAGTTGGTGTATAAAATTGATGTATGCATATGTCGTGGTTCTGGCTGTCGCCCCTGAAAAAGACAGAAGTGCTCGCTTGTCTGGAAAGACGAGTGCAACAAGAGACTGCGATGCTGAACTGAACAGGTTGTTGCAGATGTAATAATGTTGACATTGCTAAAGAAAAGAGGACTTACTCTCTGAGGATGCTTTTTAAAGTCGTGGTTACCAAGGACTCCTCGCCCTCTCACACTTTTGTGCTTGTATTCTTCTATTGTCACTGAAATGACATTAATTTCTCAAATCATTCTTCACAAAGAAACCCTTACAAAAACAGAAATTAGCTGTGGGCTGACAGCAGGTTCTGACGTTTGTGTTGGCTCACATCAAATTGTTCATTGTCTTTTGCAAATGCAGCTCTGACACACTTACACACACACACACACACACATTTCCATGACTTTTTTGGATGCGTTTCACACAGTGCAATCACTGGACTCATTTCCTCCTCACTTTGCCTTTAATGGCCCGTGTCTCTTACCTTACTCTGCCTTGGATTTATTATGAAATCTTCACGTGTGACTTCCAGCTCATCACTGACTTTCCAGCATATTTATACGAGGAACCAGTGAAGCTCACAGGTTTAGACACTGACTTGCTCTGATATTGCCCGTATACATGGACACACGCTCTTACATTCCTTACATAAGCTCGCTCTAACTAGGAGCTACCATGAGACGACTGTTGATGGTTCAACAGATTAAAGGCACATTGCTTTATTTTTACTTCCGTGGGCTAAACTTTCCATTAAACACCAGCTAGAAATCCCGACTCACCAAATCCTTAAAAGGGATATTTCACATTGGCTTGTTTTTGGTTACAACTCTTGGAATGTATTTAAAGGTAACAGACAATCTCTGATATTTGAGGAACCCTAAGAGCTTCAGTAGAAGGCAGCTGGGCTTCTCTTTTTCATCTGGTTGTCTCCTGCTGAAGCTCTTAGGATTGGAATGACCTTGATCAGCGACAATCTTCCTCGAGGAACCTTGTACACCTCAGTGCAGTGAACACCAAGTCTCATTAAGCCAATCCAGCAAGAATAATCATTATTGTTACAATCTGTTAACCTTTGCATTTATTTATTTTTTTTACCTGAGTAATTGTTTAGTCTTTAAAAAGTTCAAGTCCAAGGACACATTTACAGATTCTTGTTTTCTTTCCCAGCACTGGTAAAAAAAAAAACAGCCGCCGCAGAAGAAATTATACAACCCCTCCTCTCTGTGGTGACCTCACCTCACACTTTAATCAACCACTAAACTCTTTTTCCCACAGTTTCTCTGTGTGCCGAAGCGTTCCAGCGATAATAGAGAGAACAATAGAAGGGGTCAAGTGTAATGGCCTGCTCCTCTTGTGCTCTGTGCTTTGTAAATAGCAGTTTTAACATGGTTTATGGTCTGAACACAGTGTAATCCACATGGTTATTGTCTCCAGTTTTGTTGTAAAAATATGACTTTTATGGATTATGAATTCAGGAAAACATTCTCGTCCAAATTAACAGGTGGAGAAAAAAAAAGAGCAGAGATGGAGGACATGTGTCAGCAGTGGAGGGATTGAAACTGAAAAATGAACCAGCCTTGTATAGAGTGAAATGTGAGCATTGTGCACTGGGGTTGATTTGAGTTCACATGAGGGAAAAAAAAGCAACACATTCTCCAAATTGAACAATAAAATCCATTTTGTCCATGTCCTATAGGATGACACGCCTAGCAGCAGGACGCTATGAGTTCTATCTGTTGAAAAGTGAATCAGTTTACTGATCTGACGTTGCTGTTGTTAAGGTTTGTTTAGGTTCTGGCACAAAACTACGCAGATAAGGGTTAGTTTGAGCTAAATTTTAAGAATTTCCATCGTTATTGCTACAACAGTATCTTTTCAACTAAGTTATAGAAGCTGAATGGATTTAGTTAAAAGCAGTGTTGACTGTTGGGATAAAACCAGACTGATTTCACATTTAATTTGTTGTCCAAATGCTCCACACTGAATATTAGTTCAAGTGGCACCAGCAAACGTAATCACTAAAGCCATTAAAGGACAGAATCACTAAAACACTGACATGTTTTTGGATGATTTGTGAGAATTAAGGGACTTTTTTGTCTTGGAAGGTTCCTCTAAAACATTAAAAAAAGATAGGAGTTCTGAAAAAACAGGAACTGGGCAATGAGAAAGGACGCCACGCTTCAGGTTTACTCAGGGCTGCATTGGATTGAGATCTTTGGAGCATCTGTAATAAAACAAACTTACAACTGATCAGCTGACGTGTCAGTAAAATGTCATTTGTTTTAGACTGATTCTTTCAAAACGGATCGCGTGGTAAATTCAGAATACACGATAAAGGCTTGGCATAGGAATTATATTTAAACTGAACAAAAATAAAAACGCAGCATGTGAATGTTTTTCCTTTCGAACTTCAAGAAAAAGTCAGACTTTTTTAAATTTTATTGTTTTGGTCGGAAAATGTTTCAATTCAATTAACTAGATTAAAGGTTTTGAGCTGGTAAAGAATTCTTCACCATTGGGTTAATTGATAGCTCAGTCAAGTGTAGCTTTTAAGACAATGATCCGATAGTGAGATCAATACACAGACTCTCCAGTACGATAAAAGAAAAAATGCAGCTTTATTCAAGTGACACGATGCTACAGCTGACAAACGAGCTGTTGGTCTGCTTCATGCTGTATGTCAGTTAACGCAAATGTCCTCCAACTTCACTACGAGTGCTTTAGGATGAGTTGGACAATATTCCACGAGCAGCATCAACAACTTCATTAACTCTGTGTGTCGCAAATGTTGTGACTCATTACTGACTTGAGATTTCTGCTCTAGAACCCAAGTGTGCATCAGTCCATCATCATTTCTAATATAGTTGATTGTTTAATGGGGCTGGAAGGTGTCTCGGTGGTTAGCATCGTTGCCTCGCAAGAAGGTCGCTGGTTCATGTCCCGGTTAGGACACCCGGGATCTTTCTGCGTGGAGTCTCCATGTTCTCCCCGTGCAGCGTGGGTTCTCTCCGGGTTCTCTGGCTTCCTCCCACAGTCCAGAAACATGTTGAGGTTAATTGGTGATTCTAAATTGTCCGTAGGTGTGAATGTGAAGGTGCTTGGTTGAATCCAATAAAATATTACACCCTGCGTTTATACTTTGGTTCAGAATTTATAGCACATTTCTTCACAATACATTCAAGTGCAAACAGCAACAAATGGTCCTCGTATCCCAACATGGAGACCCCAATGGAGAACTGTACAAATACTGGCCAGTTCACCTAAACAGTAGCTGCTCACAACTACCCTGCTGCTGCCAAAGTATGAAGGACATCCTATGAACAAATTACCTCCTGTATGCATACATACAGAAGATGGTGCATCTATTCTGGGAGCCCTCTCATTGTTTGGAATTAGTCGGGAAGCAACAATAACACCAATGAACTTTGTGGCCTTTTGTGACCTTCGTGGCGTGTGAAAGGTTTCTCGGAGGAGAAATGAAAAGAAAGGAGTGTAGATGGGCAGAAGAAAGGAGTGAAATTGCCTCTTAACTATACAATACGCAGCCTATTAGGGCTGCATATTAAATTCCTAAAAATCCTAATCCCTAATAAACCAATTTTTCCACAATTTATCAGTCTGTAGTTTCAAAAAGGTGACGCAATTTTACCCCAGTTTGTACAGCACACTTCAGCACATGTTTAGCGTTTATTTTCTTAGTTTGGGGACCGTGAGATTGGCTAATAGACTATACTTATGATGTTTTCTTTAAAAATATTGCTTCTGATGTATTGTTCAACAGCAAGAAAATGACAGGACAGAGTTAAAGAGTTGAAATTAAAAAAAAAAAAAAAGAAACCTGCCTAAAAGTAGTTTTTTTCTTTTTATATTTTTATGTTGTGCAGATGATATTGTGGTGACATCATTTGTTTGCTTGAGCTCCTGTTTCTCCAAGTTGTAAATAAAACGGTTTAATATGTAACTATCTAAACATACAGGTTTCCATCGTACAACAACTGTCATAAGATGGAACCGCCAGAGTAAACGCTGACACTTTTTTGCTTTGACGGTTAATGTTTCAGGTTTATTTTAACACATATGGAATCAGTAGTTGCAGACAAAAATGTGCCGTGACTGACAAGCCGCCGGTCATCGATGCACGTTTACAAACTGTCAATTCAACAAATGCGTTTTCAGTCATGTACAGTTGCACAGAGTGTTTTGTGGTATTGCATGTGACATTTTATATTTTTTGCTTAACCTTATAATGTCCGCTTTCTGTAGCTAGTTGTGTTCAGTGCAGATTGTGTTTAATTTTTCATCTAATACTCTGTTTGGATTCACAGCACTTGTTGCCTTAATGTCCAAGTATTAGATGGCTTGTATATAAGCACACCTGATCCATTTTATCATTTGACAAGGATTCAAACACTCAGCCTGATGACAGCAGGTGACTTCACTGATGAGCTGCTCCTCCTGATTGGTCGTGTGCTTATTAAGAGACGCCTGCACATGCTCAGCTAGTCTATATAAACCAGACTGGAGCTGCAGTTGCTTGTAGAACATCAAAGACAAGACTCTAGTTGAACCAGTTGTGATTTTATCCATGACTACAAAGCTCATAAACCTGTCAGCAGTCCAGCTTGCACATAATTCTGACCCTGAAAGGCTCAACAAGCTTTTGTCACAGAAAGTAGTTCTTCCTGAACTACAGACAACACTGAATCAAACATTTGGGCTACAAAGTGCAAGAATCCTTAAACTGTCTCATTATGTTGTAAAATTATGTGCTGGTTGTGGGATCTCTGACCGAGAGGGCCTAATTTAAATGTATTTATTGACGTGTCTTTCTACTGTGCATGCTATGACCCTGTATGCTATTTAACACTATTAAAAGTTGGTTCTTTTTAACATAACGATGACCCCTGACTGGGTATTTCACTTGAGCGTCTGTCTGCAGTGAAAGGATAGTATCTTACTCTGTGTTTTGGCAGAACTAGACTAATGGCGCCAGTGACATAAACAGAGACAAACATCAGTTCCCTGAAACAAACCATTCTTGTAAACGATGGCGTTTACTGCGCTGAAACCAAGATACGCTCTATTTAATGCTGAATCAACAACATGAAGACCGCACACCTGCAACGAGGCCATTCGGCACTTAAAAGTCAGAGCAGAAGAGTCCGGCTCTGCTGTGTTTCCCATGCCTGCTTTCATTCCATCTTCCTCGGTTTCTGAGGGCAATTTAAATTTCAGAACTCCAAGGATTATTGTATACTAACACAATCTTGTGGTTGGAAAATACAGTCTCCAAACTGTACTGTATTGACACATTCATATCTCAGAGGTTCTGCTGGTGTTTGTGCACACACTCTCAAAAAGTCTTCATAACAGCAGTGCAGGTGGTTTTAGATTTACAGACCCGGTGTCGGTCCATTACGTTACCCAGTCGCCCGGTCTGGCCATGCGTGTGATTGGAGGGTAATTGGGCTGCAACATCTGTGGGAATGTGGGGTAACAATGGCTGCTTGTCACATCGGCAAACAGACCATCTCGTAAAAATCAGAGCTGCAACCGAACCCACTAAACGACTTCACACCCCGTCAATTACTGCAACCACAAAACACACACAAATGCCGAGTGAATGTTTGCACATGTTTTCTTGACGCACAGACGAGAAGATCTGCGTGCACGCAGGCCCACAAACGCAGTGGCGTCTCCGCTTTAAACTTCAGAATAGATGTATGAGAGGAATGACAGTGGCCTCAGTGTGAGACTTCAGTGAAACTACTGATGTGTAGAAATCAAACCAACAGGAGGTGAAACATGCAGAGTTCCATGAAGTTCTTGGCATGTTTTCTTTAATTCTTCGATGTAAACACTGTGGGCCCTCATTAACATGTGCGACAAGTCATAAAACCAAATGAAAAGAGTTTTACTTCTGGGATTAAAGTTGTTTTAATGAACAGTGTGATTTCTCCTGGTTCCGTGGTTCATTCAGTGGGTTCAGGTGTTGGAGGTTGAGTTGATTGGACCTCAATCAGCTCCACTCGCTCTGAGGATGCAGCTGTCTTTAATTTTCCTCTTTGCACTCTAATGGTTTCTCATGGTTGTTCATCTATTGCTGCCACAAACGTATACAAGACCAGAAGGGTATACTTTTAGGCAGTTGTGTGAATATGACTTCACATGTTTCCCTACAAACTTCAGACAATTTGGCTCATACAGGTGGCTAACTAGACTCACTGCCCAGAAAAGTGCTGCCTTCTTCAAAATGTTTGTCAGATGTCTTGTTTGGTGAAGGTGTTCTGTCATCACAGATGCTGCCCTGACAAGTTAAGTTCAAGACTTTAAGGCCCCCTGAAGTGGTTTAAATCACCATTTTGCAGCTTAAACAGTCAAATGTCCTTCAAATTCTCAAGCAACAAAGTTCATCTATACACCATAAATTTAGCTGTTTCAGTGTTTTCAGAACTTTAAAACAATTAAATTCTATTTTTTAGCAGTAGCTTACAAAGCCTGGGATAAAGTATTAAACGACGGGTACCATTCATGCTGCACTGACACATTTTGATGCAATTAATGAGCCACACATCGGTTTCAATGTACGATGGTGGGAACAAACACAATCCTTTCATTCTTTGGAAAATTTTCTGAAGTTCAGCTGAGGCAAACCAGTTCCAGTAGTAACTCATTTAGTGAGATTCCTTTGAATTTGGCCTAGGGATAGGGATATGAAGGCTCAGATTGGATTTTTTTTTTTTTTTTTTGCTTTCTGCTCAAATGTGCTTCTGATCTTTTTTTTTTTCCTTTCCTCAGAACACTAAGCAGCACAAATCAAATAGAATCTGATGTTTAGTTCTGATTCGGTCCACTTTGAGGTTGACTTGTCTTAAAAGAACTTTCCTTTGTCTAGCATCCACAGCTCCTGTTGCTAATTAACATTCAATCTGCTCTGATTTCTGTGAGTCAGACAGAACACGGCTGATTAACTTCTCACACCTGTAACGTGGCAAATGTGCGCCCATCATCCTTTAACTGCAGAACAACATACCCACCATAATCACCTGTGGCAGAACAAAAACAACAACCATCATCGGAGTAAGATCAACAGTGATGGGCTGATATAAAATGCATACACTTTTCTGTTTCAGTCACGACCATTGTAGTGGCTGCAGCAGGACTTTCCAGTCCCTCCAGTAAGAGATCTGAACTGGACTAAGCAAAGCAGCGGCTGGCTTCAGAGATCTGCTTCTCTGAAGCGTGCTAATGCAGAACGCCCTGTAGCCATTATTCTAATAACCGGTGTGTTGTGTTTAGTCACACTTCATTAGGCAGCAGCAGACCAAAGCTTATACAGGTGACTGAGGGGGTTTGTCGTTTTTTTTTTCTGT